GTGTGTATTTGTACACATTTAGTGTGTATTTGTACACATATGGTGTGTATTTGTACACATTTACTGTGTATTTGCACGGATTTACTGTGTATTTGCACGGATTTTGTTTGTATTTGCACGGATTTGCACACATTTATGTGTATTTGCATAGGTTTTGTGTGTATTTGCACGGATTTAATGTGTATTTGCACACATGTAGTGTGTGTTTGCACACTTTATAAGTGTGTGTTTGCACACATTTAGTGTGTATTTGCACGGATTTAGTGTGTATTTGCACGGATTTAGTGTGTATTTGCGCGGATTTGGTGTGTATTTGCACACATCTAGTGTGTATTTGCGCGGATTTTGTGTGTATTTGCACACATCTAGTGTGTATTTGTACACATGTAGTGTGTATTTGTGCACAGTTAGTGTGTATTTGTACACATTTAGTGTGTATTTGCACGGATTTAATGTATTTGCACACATTTAGTGTGTATTTGCACGGATTTGGTGTGTATTTGCACACATTTACTATTTGCACACATGTAGTGTGTATTTGCACACATTTATATAGTGTGTATTTGCACACAGTTAATGTGTATTTGTATACATTTAATGCGTATTTGTACACATCTAGTGTGTATTTGCACACATGTAGTGTGTATTTGCACACATGTAGTGTGTGTGTGTGTGTGTGTGCACATTTAGTGTGTATTTGCACACATTTACTCAAAATTTAATATGTGTTTGTACACATTTACTGTGTATTTGTACACATATAGTGTGTATTGCACGGATTTAGTGTGTATTTGCAGACATTTTGTGTGTATTTGCACACATTTAGTGTGTATTTGCACGGATTTTGTGTGTATTTGCACGGGTTTAGTTTAGTGTGTATTTGCACACATGTAGTGTGTGTTTGCACAGATTTAGTGTGCATTTTTGCACAGTGTGTATTTGCAGACATTTAGTGTGCATTTGCACACATTTAGTGTGTATTTGTACACATTTAGTGTGTATTTGTACACATTCAGTGTGTATTTGTACACATTTAGTGTGTATTTGTACACATTTAGTGTGTATTTGTACACATTTAGTGTGTATTTGCACACATTTAGTGTGTATTTGTACACATTTAGTGTGTATTTGCACACATTTAGTGTGTATTTGTACACATTTAGTGTGTTTTTGTACACATTTAGTGTGTATTTGTACACATATGGTGTGTATTTGTACACATTTACTGTGTATTTGCACGGATTTAGTGTGTATTTGCACACATGTAGTGTGTGTTTGCACACATTTAGTGTGTATTTGCACAAATTTACTGTGTATTTGCAAAGTTTTTGTGTGTATTTGCACGGATTCAAGAGTACAAGAGGACCAGGGGACCAGAGGACCAGGGAACCAGAGGACCAGGGGACCAGAGGACCAGGGGACCAGAGGACCAGGAAGCCTAGCTCTTGATTGAGCGTTTATTTTGTTTTTGATCCTTTTTTATTTTCTTCTTGATCCCTTTTTATTTGTTTTTTGATCCTTTTTTATTTTTTTTTGATCCCTATCCCTTTACGGTGTATGCGGATACTGCCCGGGCATCGGTTCTTATTTGCCAGTACTTGTCCGTCGCGGGGATTCGTGTCAACTTCTCCCCGGGCAAAACCGAGGCCATGGTTAGCCTGCACGGACCTGGAACTGTGCGAGCACGGAACCGCATCATGATCGACGGGGGTGGGACCATCTCGTTTGATCTAACAGGTCAGCAGTCTGCAAGCATACGGTGCGTTGCGGAGTACACCCACCTTGGCACCGTACGGGGTTGCAAGATCAGTGACGACCTTGCCGTTAAGCAACGTGCCAAACTCACGTGGGATGTGTTCCCGTCCTTTCGGCGGCGAATCCTAACCAACGAACATTTATCTGTTGCAGAAAGGCAGCAATTGCTCCTCGCAGTTGTGATGGCCAAATTCCTCCACGGTGTGGGCACGTGGAGTTTCCAGGATGAGTCCAGCCGAGCTCTGTACCGACGCTCTTACATGGCCTTTCTTCGTGGCAGTGTCCGGCCGCTGCACGGTGTCCCATGCCGCCGCTTGAATGCAGCACAGATCTGTGCCTTAACCTCTGCGCTCCTCCCGGAGGAAGCGCTTGCTCTTGCCCGGGTCCGTGTAGTGTCGCAATTGTGCGCGAAAGCGGATCCTTTTCTGCAAGGATGCCTGGAGGTGGAGCAACACTGGCTGACCCAGGCCCGGGTCGCAGTTGAGCTGGTTGCTGTCGCGCTGGAGGATGACACTCTCGCCCGTTTCGCTACCATGCACAAAGAGGATGGCAAATGGCTGCAGCATTGGCCGTTAGACCGACGAGCCACTTCCGCCCTCTTGAAACGCTTCCGCCGACATTGCATTGGACAGCGGACGGCGCTTGTAGATGAGGCACTTCAGAAAGCACGGGCCCACCAAGCCGCTGCCGATCAAGGCCTCCTCTTCTCCACGGTTGACCGACCGCAGACGGCCTCACTTCGGTCCCAGTGCTCGACATGCGGGAAATGCTTTGATGGGCCGGCAAGGCTTGCAGTGCACAGGGCCAAGATACATGGAGAACGAGCTCTCCAGACAGCTGCATGGGGAACAGCGTGTGAGATTTGTCGTCGCCAATTTTGGTCCACCAAAAGGCTGAAGGAGCACTTCAGAAGATCAAGACAGTGCGCCTATGCCTATCAGCAGGCTGAGATAGGCGATGTCGCGAAAGGTGAACAGGCAGCTCCGGACTGCGTTCCACCGACGATCCTTACTGGACCTGCCCCATGGTGGGCGACTTTACGACCGCCTCCACCACCTGCAAATGCGCATCCAACTCCCACCAACCGTGTGCATGTTCCTGATATCCGGGATCTCCGCGAGATCCATCAGGTTCCCAGCTTCCTGTCTGAATGGTTGGGTTTGGTAGAGAAGGGTGTAGCTTGGCACGCCGGTGTAGGTGACGAGGACTGGAAGCGGCCAATTGTACAACTTGCTGCCCAGATCTTCGAACAGCTGCATCTTGATGATGCAGAGCATTCTGCAACGGCTGATAACCTGTCGGCTGTTTGGTGTGGATCCAGGCTTCTGCTGGGACCCACTGACCTGCTGTGCGAAGCACGCAGGACAATTTGGCCTTTTCTCTAAGGTCGAATAGTTGAATTCAGGAGTGCGTCTATCGACACGAGCCACGCCGTCAAAAAAACCCTAAACCCTAAACCCCCTGAACCCTAAACCCTAAACCCTAAACTTAAGACATCGGTAACCAGCCACAGGAAATAAAAACAGTAATAATTTCTTTTCAGGTTTTGGATACGCTTGCAGATACGATTGAACGATACGATTTGGATGCATGCCGAAACTATGGATACACCTTTCGATACAGGTTCAAGTACGAGTTGGAGGCATGCCAAAGCCAGTGATCACTTTTCGATACAGGTTCTAGTACGACAAGCGTTGCAACCGAGGGGCGGGCAATGCTGCGCGCACCACGTGAAACCCAATACTTGACGGGATTATCCTCACAAATTATCAGACATCTGTACTAAACACATGGAGAAAGAGGAGCTGATAGTTACCAGTACATACTCACACTTAATATTCGACTTGATTTATGACAAGACTCTGCGGTGGACTTTCGATAGCATGCACTCATTTTGGCTGCACTCATTTTGGCACATCCGACTTCATCCGACGTGGATGCAGTCTTGTGCGTCCGTTGCCGACGAAAAAAACCAGGAGGGGAGGGATGGGGGTGGTGGGCAGGGGGGGAAGGCGAGGAGGGGGAACGGGGACGGGGAAGGGAGGGGAGGGGCAGGCGCCGTGGGGCCGCTCGCTTCCCGCCCAGAAGCGGCTCCACAGGGTGTATTCAAAAGCCTATCGCGAAATCGTATCTGCAAACCACGTCCTCGGGGCCTCCGCGGCAGGCCCCAAATCATCCAAATCGTATCTCAAAATCGTATTCAAAACCGTATCGGCCCGGACCCCAGTTTAGCTCTTATTATAAGAGGAAACGGATACGATTTGGCGATACGATTTGGGGCGGTTTCGGGGCCCCAGGCGATACGATTTGGCGATACGATTTGCAATAGGATTTGGGGTCTGGCGGGGGGCGTCGGGGGGCTGGTGCGGCCCCACCCCACCAAACCGCCAAATCCTATTGCAAATCGTATCGCCAAATCGTATCGCCTGGGGCCCCGAAACCGCCCCAAATCGTATCGCCAAATCGTATCCGTTTCCTCTTATAATAAGAGCTAAACTGGGGTCCGGGCCGATACGGTTTTGAATACGATTTTGAGATACGATTTGGATGATTTGGGGCCTGCCGCGGAGGCCCCGAGGACGTGGTTTGCAGATACGATTTCGCGATAGGCTTTTGAATACACCCTGTGGAGCCGCTTCTGGGCGGGAGCGAGCGGCCCCACGGCGCCTGCCCCTCCCCTCCCTTCCCGTCCCCGTTTCCCCCCTCCCTCTCACGACAACTGGACTTCAACTTCTTCGAAGCGCTGCTGCCAGTGCTCGAAGCTACGGCGATGGGGCTGAACGCCATTGCCATGGCAGTCTGCTGCGATGGCAAAAGCTCCTTACCGCCTACAGGGCTTGCCGACGTGTGACACGGTGTGACTTGTGCATCATAGTCAAACACCATGCATGACCTGTGAGTAAACGTGTGACCTGTGAAAGGATTGTCTGTCGTCTGCTGTCCAACAACATGTTGGCATCACCAATCCTGTGATCCGCGCGCGCGGCATCCCCGTAGCGACGTTTGTGAAGTGTATCACGAACTGCATTGAAAAGTCTAACATACAAATAGTCACCTGTAAATGTGTATCTTAAACCGTATTGAAAAGTGTATCGTACCTCTAGACCACATCGAAAAGTGTATTGCTGAGTCCTATCACAAGCCCTATCCTAAACCCTAAAAGAAATTATTTAAGACCCTGCTTTCCTCTAGCATGTGCAGATGTCTTAACCCTAAACCCTACACCCTGAACCCTAAACCCTCTCCTGCTCCGCCTTCTCTGCCGCCAGGGCCTCCAGGTGTCGAAGCTCCGCCTCGAGCTCTCGCCGGAGCTCCTGGTACAACGCGACGGTCGAGGGCTAAGGACCGGGCTCTCTTGGGGGTTTAGGGCCAGGGTTTCTAGGGCTTTTAGGGTTTGAGGGTTGTGGGGTTGTGGGGATTTGGGGTTTAGCTTCTGGGTTAGGGTTTAGGGATATAAGTTATAGAAGCTCCTTTCAGGGATGTCGTGAGGGCGACCATAAGTTAGGTTAACAGAAGGGTTAAGGCTTCGGGGGGTGCTAGAGTTTGGTGCTTGACGGGCGTTGCCGTCTCTAGCAAGGGGACACGGCGACCACCACCACGGGTAAAACTGCGACTGACAACAACGATCGTCGGAAAATCTTCCCTGACACGGGCTGAGACATGAGAAATCGCTTTCAAGCCAGCGCCCCGTACTACAAAGTCGCGCACGCAGTTTTCGCATGATTTAGGATTCTTCGTATTCTTAGGCGTGCGAACTCAGCCTTGAGCAGGTTTCACGGTTCACCTGGGAATGGAAGCATGGTAGTACTAGTAGTTATATGGTAGTAATATGATAGTAATATGGTAGTAATATTATGATAGTTATATGGTGGTCATATGATAGTAATATGGCAGTAATATGGTAGTACTAGTAGTTATGAATGACCAAGTGAGCATCTCGAGCTCTCCTCCTCGCGCTGGGCGGCTTCGGCTTTCAGGCGCTCCTGTGAAGGAATGCAGGGGTCCCGGTCTAGGTTACAGGGTTTAAGCAGAGGGTTTCGGATTTACGGAGCTTTCAGATTCGCTCATTGGAGCGGAGTTGAGAGTTCAGATCTCTAGCCTCCGACTGGCACACAAACTACACAATGTTCGCCTCGTCAGCCTCCTTCTGAAATCAGATCTTAATGTCTCGTCATCTGATGTCTGCTGTTAGATCTCCGGCATGTTCCCATGGCATTTCTCATTGTGACCCTATCCTGTCAACATCCCCATCATCATCAACAACAACATCAGATTCCTGCCTCTAGCTCGTGCAGCTCGCGGGCCGAACGCTCCTGCTCCTCTGCATAAGCCTCCTTGGCTCTCTGCAGTTCCTGCAAGCAGCGTGTTGCGCATCTGGCTGCGAACTCGAGGGTCCCTCTAGCGCTCCGCGGAGTCCTGCCAGTCTTCGTCACTGACCCCTGGATCCCTCTCTTCGACGTCGGCTGGGCCGGGTGCTTCGGCAGGAGCTTCCTCTTCGCGCTGGGCCTGCTTCTGGCTCTGCGCCGGTTTCCTGAGTAGCACAGGACACTAGAGTCTGGAGAGATGCAGTTTCGTGTGCATCTCTTCAGGCCAACAGATTTTGTCCAAGAAACTCCCGGGCTTGAGATGGCATCTCGCAAGGAGCATCCCACGGGAAGCTGGGGACCTTTGGAGCTGCCTTGGGGCCGCGAGCGGCCAAGAGCTTTTGGATCGCCGGCCGGATGTCACTCTCTTGCAACGTCTTCTCGGCACCTTGCAAGTCCGAGACTTGATAGAAACAACTTTGAGTGATGAATCCAACAGCTGCACCCGAGATGACGTGTGCCGCCCGCCGCCCCCAACCGCCCGATCCGGGACACATTCGGGCGCTTTCACCACGCGGTCGGCTCGCTGCTGGAGACACTCCTTCCAGACCTTGTCCACGTCACGCGCGTTGCCCCATCCGTCCAAGCCGCGAAGCACTTCGAAGCCTTCCTGCAATGACCCGGCCCCATCACACCGTTGGGCAGCACTACTACCCTGCTCATCAGTAGCCCCGGCCACAGTACTGAGCTGGACGTCCGCACCTCCAAGCCCCAGACCCCGAAGCCTCAACCCTTGACATCAAACCCGAACAACATCTAAAACCCAGTCCTGCAGCACTGTGACTGCCTCCGGGGCCAAGCCGAAGCTGCCGCTCGCTGCCTCTGCTAAGCCGCAGCAATGTTTAGGGCCTGGAGTTTAAGGGCTTCAGTGCTTCGGAGCATTTTGGTCTTAGCGGTTTAGGGTCTGGTGCAGTTCGGGGTTCAGGGTTCGGGGGGGGGTGATAAGGTTCAGGTACCTGTGCAAGGCTGATTAGGGTCATGAGTCATCTCCAGGCTCAGATCTGAAGATAGATGGCTGCTGTCGCAGCCTTTTCACCAGACTGCCTAAACTACGCTTCCTTCCGAGCTTAAGCCAGGAAACTCGCTTTTGGATCAGATCTAAGCAATCGCCGGCCGTCCAGTCGGGGAACTCGAAGAAATGGGTGAAGCGACTCTTGAGACCCGGGTTGGTGTCCAGCATGGCGTTGATGTCACCCGGGTAGCCGGCAATGATGATCACCACACCTCTAAGAGGCTAGAATCGGAGGCTGCCCCACGACCGAACAGGTCTAGCTACCCTGTACACTTCAAAGGAGCCTGCCTGCGTACTTTGGGTCCGTCATGGCCGCAACGATGGCGGTGCATGCTTCCTGACCGTAAGGTCCCTTGCCGAGCTCGTAAGCCTCATCGATGAACAGCACTCCGCCTTTTGCAGCCTGAAGCAAGGCAAGCTTTCAAATCCATCAACCGTCGTGCTTGTTTGGACTTGAGGGTTTGTCGCCCAAGGCCACAAAGATGGATCATGACTTACGACTGTGGTCAAACGTCTGAATGGTGTCAACCAGGTGAGATAATGGTACGGTATGGTTCGGAATCATTCAGCGCACACTGCACATAATACCAACACGACGACAAACAACCAGAAGACACATAACCAGGGTTAGTCTTGGAAGAATATACATGTACAGACGCATAGCCGCATCACGTTGAAAGCTGGACAGGATGATTGAGGAATCTTGGCTTCGGATCCGGCCCCGAATCAAAGGTGACTCGGATTGATATGGAGCAGATCCTCCCCCACCCCAAAAGACCCCGATTTGGGCAGTTTTCCTTAAAGGCAGCAACTAGCTCATCCTTTGAACGGTGCGCGTGAAGAGCACATTGGAGCGTTGTTAAATGGGGGCGAACACTACATCTATACATAGACGCATTCATTAAATTAATTCATTCATTCATACATTCATAAAAACATACATACATGTGTTGCCGGTCCGGTACGAGTATCAAAGAGAATAGGACCTAAGAGCAGCAAACAAAAATAGCAAAAACATGGATGGGAAACACCCGTAACACAATGGTCCTCGCCGTGGTAGCATTAGTGGTAACAGCAGTCGTTGCTGCAGTGGCGGTGCGAGGAAGAATCTCATACGCTCAAGTCTTGTAATGGTTCTGCAGCGAGAATACTGATTGTTGGACCTTCTCTGTGATATCAACACAATGGAAATGTTGCAAGCCAACACACCAGTCATGCACTACTCCTAGAGCAAACACAACACAGTCAACATGCTAAGCTAATGACAACAGCGCTTGCTGGTAACACCTGGAAATTACAAAGATGATGATCAGTGATGATGATGGTGATACTGAGGACGAGGCGGAAGAGGAGGGGAAGAGGATGAAGAGGAGCAGCAGACGATGCTGATGGTGATGACGAAGGTGGGAATGGAGATGCTGATGCTGCTGGTGATGCTGATGATGACGATGATAACGATGATAACGATGATGATGACGATGGCCAGAACGACTAGATAATGATGACAGTAATTGCAACATATTGTAACACTGACGATGATGATGCTCATGCTTGTGTTTAGTGTTGAGTGAGCCGTACTCAATAACGTAACACCAGTGCTCAAGCCGCCCACGACAAAGAGCCTCCAGCTGCTCCTCCACTTTCTTCTTGGTCTGCCCAAGGTACTCTCCCGTCAGGTTCAAGCCCGATGTTTCTGCCGGGCGCAGCCGTGGAAGTCACTATTGCCGAGAGTGCAAGGTTCAGCGGTTCTACGTAGAAACGTGGCGATGCCTTCGCAGTATATACACATGTGTAGCGGCGGCAGTAGTAGCAGCAGCAGCAGTCTGCAATCGTAGCCACTATGATTTCCCTAGCAGCAGTGAACTCTGTACCAGTTTCGGTACCAGGAGCAGCCGGAACTCGTTGATTGGCACGGGCTATCACATGCTGCACCACCCCCACCTTGCACACGATCCTTCGCTAGGAGTCGGAGCTGGAAGAGAATCTGCGCCATCACCCGAGCCACTGTCGTTTTGCCGGTGCCGGGGGCGCCCGTAAACACGAAGTGGCCGAGTTCAGGAGCTTCATCCCCCTCCTGCAGAGGAGGGTTTAGGAGTTGAGGGATTGGGGTTTCGGCGCTCACACTCGGATTGGGGTTTAGGGTTTGAGGTTGCAGAACTTCGGCCAAACAAAGCTTTCAGAAGAGCTGACGCAACACAATTTGCTCTGAGCCATAGAAGGATCCCGGAGCGAGTGTTGTTCAACGACGTTGGCGTGGTTCGCATGCGGAGCTGTCAGTATGCACAAATAGCCAAATGAACCCACAAACAACCCCACCAACCCTGTTGCATGAACAAAGCTGCGAAGTTGGGAACTAGCAGAAGGGAGTCGGGGTGTAAACTGATGGCTGTCGCAGATATACCTTCAACTATAAGGGCTTCATTTATGATTTAAACTATATTCCTTAATTAAAGGGTAGCTCCTCCGATGCCACAGAGAAGGCATTGCTGAGCTGCTGTAGCTTTTGCCTTCAGCAGTATCAGCACATCACTGCATCCGCGCGATGTGTATGCGGAACGCACCGAATGACACGACCCGATGATCCGATCCGCCTGATTCCTTCCATCCGATAGAGCTTCTCAAGAGGGGCGAAAGGATCCTCTCCACAACAAAGCAAGAACAGTGTCGACGTCTTCACATGCAAACGTTCGGTACGGCCCCCACTCAGTAATAGTTGATTAGTATTCGTAATATAGATATATTAGGACCTTAATAGTAGCCCTATTATAGACTCTTACTGTATGAGGGCCGTACCCAATGCAAACGAAAGCGGGACTAAAGCTCTGGTCGGCCTTTTGGTTTTCAGCTTCGGGTCCGATGTCGATGTCCGATGCCTCCAAGCATAAGGGGCCGTCTCCTGCAGACGTGCCAGGAGAAGATCGGAACTGCAAGAAGGCATGCTTGGATTCCGAAACCCAAAACCCCAAACCCTTAACCGCATGGGGGATTTTGGTTGGGCCTTGGCCACGAGAGGAAGCCTTCAGCATGGCTGCCTTCACGAGGTTCATCACAGCACCAGCATTGCCGAAGTGGGACTCGCTTCGGCGAAGCATATCAAGCTTCCTCTTCGCCTGACAGGTCACATCCGCCTTACGCAGACAAGGCGAGGGCAGGAGCATGGCCTTCTCCTGGAAATCCAGGGAGGGCTTCACACCCTCGCTGCGGCAATGGTTGCGCAGAATGTCCATGAGCTCCTTGACACGGATGCCACAAAAAATTGCGACAGCCACCGAAGAGACACCCCTTCCCTGCTGTTGCAGGTTCCCAGACTTCGGCCCACCCAGAGCATCGGTGGCACTCGTCGGTCGCCGTCTTACAAACCCAACACCAGCAACAGCAGCAAAAGCACAAGTGGCAGAACATCAGCAATTTGGTGCATACAGAATACAGGCGTCGTCATCATCGTCAGCAGCAGGAGCAGCTGAACAGCGCTGGGACCGGTCCTGATCTGTGTAGTCCTCGAAATAAAACGCTTGTTCCGGAGGGAAGCGGCGTGCAAGGCCAGGATTTTGCTCCCGCAACATGGACAGCATCTGGTCCTGGGGCTCGGAGCGTCGGGCTTCGGTTCTGCGAGTTAGTGTTCAGGGTTGAGGGAGCTGAGGGTTTACGGCTCAGGATGTAGATTTCAGGGTTAGGCTTCTACCAGATGAATAAGCTGCCCTTCAACATGAGATTGGTCCTCATATCCAAGGAGTAACACCGCTATGTCGTCGCTGTCACCACCCTGGATCTTCTCTACAAGGACATCCAGCACCTGCATCGTGAACACTTGCCAATGCAGCTGGACGGTAGGGTCACATCGTCTACGCTTCCTGCCTGCTTTCCATACAAACCGTCGTTGAGGTTGTATGCCTCGTCGATTACCAGAACTTTCCCGGCAGCAGATTGTAGCACACTGAGGACCTTTTGCTGGGCTTCGCCGACCACCGAGCCCCCGAGATCGCCAGCTGTCTTCAAGACCACATCTCCGGAGCTAAGAAAGCCCAAGTTCTTCAACAGCTCTCCATACAGCTTGGCGCAGGTCGTCTTGCCTGTGCCGGGATTCCCCAGAAACATGCGGTTCAAGAAAACTGGAAGTGGCTTCTCACCGTTCAGCTCCTTGTGATAGTTGGTCCCACATATGGTGATCAACTCGTCAATGGTTTTCTTGATCTTTCTCCAACCAGTCTTCCGCTCGATTTCGTCGCGGACGCGTTGTAGCTTTGGATTCGATCTGGGATCCTCTTCGTGCGGGTTTTGCGGAGCGCCGAATTGTGGTTTCTCCGAATCTGTTTTTCCATGCAAATGGCAGTTGAGCATAGGGCTGAAGCAGTCAGTCACTACATGTGTCAGTCCTCACCCACAACATCCACAAAGCGCAGTGACCTGAGCAACACGATTTCAACAGCCGTCCTTCTGAACAAAACCAAAAACGCCAGGATAAACAACACCACCGGTAAGGGAACGAGCCAGTAGAGAAGGTCCAAGCCGCATGGCTTGAGGATCGAAATCTGAATGGCTCATTGCGCTTTCTGCAGCCGCTTCCAAGCACTTTCTCACCTCAGTCATCCGAGGAGTCAAGCCATCTTAGGCTTCAAGTGCTGAAACGTTCAAAGGGTGGCCTTCGGAGGTTGAACGCTTTCATGCCGAAGCCGCAAAGCAAACTACGCCAGCTACAACCTGGCTCGGGCCTGTTGATGTGGCTCGCACGTGCGGGGTGGCTGAACTATGTTTGTCCTCGGTGTAGCTGAGTTGCTTCGGGAACCCGGCCGAGTTAGGCTTATCGTGTCCTAGAATTCAATTCTTCACTGTTCGAAAGTTGCCATTCTGCGACCATCTGGCCATGTCGGGAATCTCACAGTCGCCGTGCATCAGTGTCTTATCCATGTGTCGTTCTCAATGTCGCGTCGGATTCAACAGGAGTATGAACTTTCGCGCACACTGCTGCTAGTGCTACTGCTACTGCTGCTGCTACTACTGCTACGACGACGACTACCACCTGCTGGCTTCAGATTTCAGAGGTTGCATGGACGGCTGCGGATTCGGACTCTAACCTTGAACAGACCAAGTGGCCTCCCTGGCATTGCCGAAGCCTTTCTTCCCACGACTCTTCGCCATTCTGCAGACAATCAACCCCAGCGGTGTCCATGTACGGATCATGCTTATGCAGCTGCTGACCCTGTCCTTCGCACGACGACATCTGTAAGGCGCGAATCCTCTTCGCTCCAACCACGCTGGGACCGCATGTGAATCCAAATCCTCACGGCAACAGCCCTCTGCCCGCAATCTAGGGGTTAGCATGCAGAGCTTTTTTTGGGCCTTGGGGCACTTGAAGACACAAGCACAGCAGAGTTCCATGAGACACATTGAGACCCCACGTTGAAGTGCTGCCAAGGGGTCTGAGCGAGCTCCTTTTCATCGAAGTCCTCGAAGTGGACTTCGGTGAAACGGCTCTTGAGGCCGGTGTTGTAGGCAAAGATCTTGGAATTCATGTCATCCTGGGGCGGTTTAGGGTTTAGCGCTTAGGGTTTAGGGCAACATGCCACAGCCGAGAAGACAGACCCGTCCTCGTATCCAGCAAGAATGCAAGTGAGACGTGCACGCTCGTTCTCGGTGAGGGTGACGAGCTCATTCACAATCGGTGCGCCCTTGAACTTGTCGCCTGCCGGATCCAAGTCATAAGCCTCATCAATGAAGATCACTCCGTCCAATGCTTCCTGAGCCAGCTTCCGAAACTCATCCACGCCACCGTCCTTGAGCTTTTGGGCCGTGCACTCCTGGAAAACGTTCTTGCTCCGCAGGCCCGAGTCGTGTAGCACGGAAGCGAATAAGCGTGCTACGGTTGTCTTCCCGGTACCGGGATTTCCCATGAAGCAATAATTCCTTGCATCCAGCAGGGACATGAGAAAAGCAGGTGGCTGACGGCCCAAGTGCTGCAAAGCCACAGATTGGGCGCGTTCTTCTTCCTCTTCTCCGGATCCATGCGCTGGAACTGAAGAGCCGACTTGTAGAGGTCAATGGCCTTCATCTTCACCTTAGAGCAGAGACCCAAAGCTCGCTAAAACGAACTACCCTGGCTTAACTATACTCATACCTACTTGTAGCCCCAATTAAGGTGCCTATAACCTTACTAAGCATCGAGGGGTGAAGGCGTCCTCTCAAGCCTGCCAGCCTGCCTCGTCTTCTCGAAGCCGACATAGCCCTAAACTTTTAAACCATGCAGAACATGCGGGCCTTCTTCAATCCAGTCAGCGCGAGAAGTTGATCCATGGCTTCCGAAGCACAGCCTTTCGCGTTCCGCAGTTGTGAGGCCTGTTCTTTGGCTGAGGTCTTGGTGACAGATGGGTTCAACGTAGTCTCGAAAGCTCCGCGCGGTCATTTCGCACAGCTTCGGTTGGAGTTGTCCGGTGCTTGTTTCGCTTTGGACAGTGCCGGTTCGCACCAGCAGCTCTAGACACAGAAAAACAAAGTCTTAAACTGGAAGAACCAAAACACGACAGTCTAAGCCGAGGAGGGTTTTGGCAGCTTCGACACGATGTCATGAACCCAAACCCCCATCCTTGAAATCCTCAGAGCTCAAAACCTACACCCACTTAACCGAGCCTTTCGTTTCCTTCATCTCCTCCCACGTGGCCAACAGATCGGTGGTCGCCGCAAAATCCTGGAGAATCCCATGACTCACTCATAGTATGCTATAGTCAAATATCTTACATCGTCCAGTACAGCATAATATGGTACATGGAAGTACACTGTCTTTTGTTTTTTGTGTATTGCAGTATACTACCGTATGTTACACTATACTATGGTATGTCACAGCATACTGTATCATAGTATATTCTAGTAGACTACAGTATGCTATGCTAGCATCCCAGTATTCACTCCTTCTGCGCACCTTTTGCAGGTCGTGCTACGACGCACGGTCACCTGTGCACGCCTGCGAGTAGATCTTCTTGGTGCGGACTTGCTAAAGGCAACATCAAAGGTTTGTAGTTAGGAAGATGATAGGGTTGGCAGTGGACAAACCAGCTAGCGTCGGCAACTGTGCTGGCCACAGCAGATACATCCCTTAGAGGAGGCTTTGAGAAACTCTGAAAGGATCTGAAAGAAACCCTAAACCGACGCTTGAAGTTGTGCATAGCCACCGGTGTCCTTGGGCTTGCCGTCGTTGGCATGCAGCGAGGTCTGGAAATGTAAGGTTCATTATGCAGATGTGGCATTGACATGAAACTACTCCGAGTCTCAGGATACTCAATCGTCCTGTAGCACCGTGCAAAAAAACTTCTACAGCAACACACGTTCAACGATGCAGCATGTCTCCGAAGGTTACGTCTCAAGCTGCAGTGTTAAGTGGTTGACTGTGTTTGAGATATCCGAATCTGCATCGTCGCCTTCTCGTCGCTTGTAAGCACTGGCTCGATCTCCGGGAAGCGGCGTAGAGCAGTTTCAAGGATGCGCAGGCCCTGCAGTTCAGATAGGAACAGCTACCACATGCAATCATCATCAATACATTATACATATTGTTCTTAACGCCGTCGTTCTCATGTGGGAACTTGCAGAAACCAACACAAACTGACTAACAAGAAGACAAACTCGTGGCATGCATGACGTCCTCCACTCGGTGCAAGGCCAGCAGCAGCAACGGATGCGCGACTTGCCTGCAGGCCGGACAAGAACGGTCTGCAGTACTCTTGCAGCACTGCTAAGCTTTCCTGCGACAGCTGCAAGGGAACGACAGAGGCAGCTGACATACGAGTGGCTGCCTCTTCTACGGAGCAAGCGAACCAAGCAAGAGGGAGTATGGTTGCCCGACACGTGATGGCAGCCGGAAAAGCTGCCTGGTGGAAGCTCGAAGGGAAGTCAGGTAGCTGTCGAGATGGCTTTTGGCCACATCGCCATCTGCATTGTACACTTCCAGGGCCATGAGCAGGTCCAGGAGTGGAAGGGGAACCTCCCTTTCCTTCATGAGCTTGTCCAGGAGACTCTTCCCCGCAAACGGCGCCGCGGCCGGATTCACAAAGGAAAGCTTCTTTGCAAGCTCCTTCTCCTGCCCCTCCGTCAGCTCACCTGCACACCACAAAGGTCGTAAAACCCTCCAACCCGACTGAAGCCCGAAAGCATGGCAATCATGGCCGAGCGACCGGGAGCCAAAGCTGCGCCATCCCAAGACGCGGGGAACGAGAACCCCTCTGCCGGGCTGCCTTGCAGCTCCTCGCATGAGAACTTAAGGCTTCCGGGTGCGCGAAAACGCCGGGTGTTTTGGAAAACGACGGGTGGATTGGGATTCCTCTTGATTTAGGTGCGACTTCCGAAGCATCCAGGGGTTCAGAAACCAGCGCATAGCCACATCTGACATCTGCAGCCCGCTTCCAACACTCCAACTTTCCCAGACTACTGCCTCAATGTGCAGCCATCCTGGCGCCTCTAGCAGTATTCGTGGAACTGCTGTTTTCGTGAGGCCGTCTCGCGAGTCCGGGTGGTCTGCGAGACCAACGGTGCACGAAAAAACCCTTGTGAGTGAGCGTAACCTTAGCACTGAACGACTTTGTCCGAGCCTGAACGATGGAGAACGTTGCGTCGTCAGAGGGCTCTGCATCACCACCGCCTTCCTCCGCCTCGCAAAGGTTCGGCGGAACTCAAAGCGCGGCCCCATGCCCGAGCGCTCGTCTTGCTCTCCTCGTGTTCCTTAGGCCCGAGCCTGGCAGGTTCCAAGCACCAGCTTTCCTTCGGGCTTGATGAAGGAGATGTGCCTCCGGACACCAGACATCCTACTCACACACGGAAGCCTCGGCAACGTGGCCGCACAGCATCGCATCATAACGAAGCGGGAACGATGCCATCATTTGGGAGTTTCCGAAAATAGGGGGACTCCAACATAGTAGCCTAAATAATAGGATCCTTACTACAAGGACCGCAACATAAGGGTACCCCTAGTTTTCGGAAACTCCCATTCAGAAGAACTTTAGCGCACAAACAAATCGAAAGCTTCGCCTCGGCTTTAAGTCCACGAGGATCTCCCCGGCCAGGTGGTGCACCATCTGCACGGTTGTGAAAATTAGGGTCCCTTTTTGGGTCCCCGTTATAATACGGCACCTATTATTTAGGGTACCCAAAAAGGGGCCATAATTTTGACAACTGCCCATCTGCGCAACAAACATGCTCAGGAAGAGAACCACACATGAGTCAAATCTGGCATGACGGTATACTGCCAGAATGTCTATGTACAGAACAAACCGGATCCGACCACAAGGTTCTCGCAACATCGAGAAGTACCAGTACTGCGGAAGTTATGGAATTCAGTTCCTGTGAGTACTGGGAGCGCCCTAGTTCGGCACGGCACCTACGTGCAACAAGCAGCAGCCGCCTTCGTCAGCATCGGCTTGTTCACCTGTCTGAGCGGAGGATAGCGGATCAGGGCCTTCGCAAGACTACTCCACCAGAGTGGCCCTGCCCGAGTCTTCGTCTTAGGGCGCCTCTCCCTGAGTTTGAGCCCACGCAGCGCCTGGAGGTGCTGCGTGGCGTAGAGCGCGAAGGGCTCCCAGACCACGAATCGCTTCGGCCCGGGGAGGTCCTCAGCCTCGAAGCTGTCGAAGCCTTGTTGCCGCCACCGGCTCGGAGCCTTGGGAAATGCCAGCTTAATACAAGGACCCCTACTGTTTCGGGCTCTTTGGAAATGAGGATCCCCGGCCAGGGGGCCTGCTTGTTCTTCTTGTTGGGCCATTTGTCACTGCAGCTGCTGAGAGAATAGGCGTATCCGAGGAGAAGATGGGCCGTCCCTTCCTTCACCTTCTCGGTGGCAAAGCTCTGCAGGTTCGCGGCCGTGAGACGATGCACCTGCCCCGCCCCCCGTCTCCACACCCAGCGTCAAGAGTTTCACAGCAATCTGCGGGCCTGGATTCCGCCAAGGGTCGACTCCTTTCGGAACTTGCCCAGCTGAGCGAATCCTGCCATCAGCTTCGTCTGCATTCTCCGATTCCCTCTTCGTACGGAAACGAGAGAGAAAGCGCCGGGCTGAACCCCAGGGCCTCTTTGGATCTGAAACAAGCGCACAGCAGCTGAACGGGAGCTGTCCTTTATGGGCTCCTTGAAGGATGTAGGGCTTGGGGTTTATAGGCTACTATAAGGGTCCCTATAAGGGCTCCTTTATGGGCATCTTTGACAGCGGCGCCCTCCAGCACGTGGAAGATGGGGATCAGCTTCTCCTGGAAGCTTCGCCGCTGCCAAACTGGCGTCCGCCCCTCGGCAGGCAGATCCCTAAACTCTTACAGTCCCCCCTATAAAACCCTTATAGATCCCTTATAGAACCCTATTAGTTATTAGTACCCTTAAAGGAACCCTTGATTGAACCCGGGTAGTACGCTTATCGATGCGCGACTGGGCTCCGGGCCGATAGCTCCTGGAACTTGCTCAGCAGAACCTGCTTCTGCGCGAGGAAGCGGCGAGTCATCTCAGGCGGCATCTCCGTCGGCTGTATCTCCTGCCACAATCTAGTTTGCGAGAAGAAGCTCTCCCCTCCGAACCCAATTCATGCAGGCCTTAAGAACTTACTTCTGCAACAGCAACGCCTGCGACCATCTGCAATCTGCTTGGCGTAGACTCCCTGCTAATTACGCCTAATACGTCCCTTGCCATGCCGAACTCCGCACAGTGACTCCTCCGCCAAGCTTGCGAAGACGTCCAGGCTGGGCAAGGGCTGGCTCGTGTCGTCCATGCGCTTTGCCGTGTCTTCCACGGCAGCTGAGAGCCTCTCCGCACTGCAGGAAGGACACTCGGATGGCCTGCCTTCCTGGCACATCTTCAGGTGGAAGGTGTGTGACTTTTCGCAGGTCCAGGCGATCTCCCTGCCGCAGCAGACCTTGCGCGACTCCGCACAATCAACCATGAGCCGCTTGGATTTGCAAGCTGCGGCGTTCCAGCACTCCGTCAGGCGCTTCTGCGTACACTTTATGGTGGCCTTGCCCTGCTCGTAATCCTGAAACTTCCGGCAGGTGGCGGAGGCCATGTGGCCACAGGCCAGTGGCTTCTCGACGGTTACGGAGCAGTGGCCCTTGACTTCCTGCTGCTTCAACAACTGCACCAGCTGCTTGCAGTTAAACTCCGCCGAGTGTCCGCAAGGTCGCTCCACCTCTCAGACATTTCGGTTTGGGATTTTGGAATTAGTGCCCACCTTCATGCTACAACTTCTTTTGAAGTTCGGAGTGTTTTCGACCTTCTCAGAAGGCCCCCGCCCCTGCCTTCACGGTCTGCCTGCAGCCTCTAATGGCCGCCATGAGCTGATCATCCAACTGAGCCTGCGTGGGCCTTGCAGCCGCCGGCAGGACGTTCTTCGTGGTGAGGGACTCCATGGCCTGCAACTTGGGCTCAAACCCTTAGTGGAACCCAAAGTGTTTGGTTTAGGGTTTAGGGTTTAGAGTTTAGGGTTTTAGGGTTTAGGAAGTTTAGGGTTTGCTTAGGGGCTTTTGGGTTTGCACGGGCACTGCACCTTCAGCCGATATCCCTTGAATTCCGGCCTTCTCATCCCAGGGCTGCCAGCTCTCGAGCGTGGCTCGTGCGTGGCATGGTATCCTTAGGACTTCTCAAGCAGGGATCTATAAGAGTTGTATAAGGGTACTATAAGGGGTCTGCAAGGGTACTGTAAGGGTACTATAAGGGTTCTATAAGGGTTCTTTTGAATTTACTATAAGCGGCAACACGCTGTTTTGACCTTTACACAAATCCACCGAGTCACTGGATCTCGTGTCCGCAAAGGGGGCTTCGCACTGTGATGGACTCTTTGCAAGGCGGCAATGCTGATGACTTCAAATTGCAAGCGATTTGATGTTGGTGGCCACAGGTCCTCTTGATCACAACCTCAGCACCCGAGCTGATAGACAGGCGGCATGAGTATTTTTACTATTACACAGCTATGGGGAAATTATCCAAAAAATAATTACACTAAGGTGCCTGAGCCGTGCACTTGATGTCCGCCAAGTGAACCGGGACAGGCGATATGCATCCTTCCGTGAGCTCGTCGAGCGGCTTGTCAGGACGTGCCGACCCCTCCTGAACATGCGTCTCTACTGATAAATGTGTTGAAGGCTTATCTTCCACACAATCTCTCGGTTTCGCTTCCGGAGTCTTGCAAGAACGGTTCAGCTGGATGTCATGATGAAGGGCAAAAGGCTGATGCCCGCGCAGATCCAATGCCCCGATGCTCACAACTATTATACGTTGCCATTCCTCCCATCCTTCCGTCAGTCTTCTTGCTCTGAATTGTCGTGGCTCTTTGGGTCAGTTCGTGTGGGTCTGCTTCTTCTGGTTCCGGCTACACATCCTCGTACACAGAGGTTGACGGTACACTTCAAACCATGCTCACACAGCTGTAGTTGAATTCAAGGCTCCAGTTGGCGCGAGCGATGGCAAGAGATGCGAATATCGTGACCACATTCCGGATGACAGGCTGAAACCTGTCCGGAGCAGACACTTCAAAAGCGGATGCTCACGACGATGATCACGGCGATGACGATGATGATGATGATCATAATCATCAACAGCATCACCATCATCATCATCCTCGTCCTCACCCTCCTCGTCACCATCATCATCCATATGATCATCGTCACCATCATCATCACAACCACCATCATCTTCCTTCTTCATGATCATCACCAGCATATTCGTATCATCATCATTCATCACCATTATCGACACCGGAGATGGAGTATCACCAGCCAATGATCTTGATCATGACGATGTCATGGCTTCTCTTGTACCATGACCACGTTGGCCTTCTCCTGGCAGTGAGAGTCAATCCTCGCCAAATCAAAGGCCCTGCCGCATTCCACCCGTTCCTGGTGGCCGCATCGTCCTCGGGGACTCGAGACAGACCAGGACATAGGGTCGACGGATCAGAGTAGCGAAACGGAGGTGCAGAAACAAGTACAAGTAGGTGTTTTATGGACCTGCATGAAAACCGCCCGCACTAATCTCTTGTCCAGGCTTCGCACGAATGTCACCTTTTCGCAGCAGACTCTGTCCTCAAATGGCAACCGCTCAGTGTGCAGAAGTCGCTTTACAGACCCACTCTTGCCCAGGCTCCAGAGGGCCATACTCCACTCCTTCGCGCACAATGTCCTGCTCTGCGCAGCGTCCTGTCAAACGCGAGGCATGAATCTAGCAGCGGTTTCTTTTTTCTAGAGCTACGTCTTGTGTAACCACTTGATGTATGTTTATACTTTATACAGGAACTAACAGCACGACAAATAATGATGCGGTTTGCCCGAGCTGAAACCGCAAACACGGCAGGAACTTCTGTCGGGGATATCGCGAATACGCCCTGCGAACTTGTTTATCGGGAATATCACAAGAACCAATGATAAACACTACTGCACCAAAGAATGCCCATTGCACCTCGCCTCCTTGCCATGCTTGCAGCTGGATGTTCTCGGCACATGACACCTCAGGGCACATTCTCTGCCATGGGTTAGGGCTGGCCAAGTTTAGGGTTTACGTCAGTTCCTCAAATCCTCAAAACCTCGAAAACAAGATATCGTGATCTTCGACACAAAAGATCTTTGAACACCTCAACATACGGTACAGCAGCAGCGTCTTCGCCCTCTAAACCAACTTCAGTTGCCTTGGCTGCATGGCTGCATCGTGGCAGTTTGATGTCCTGCTTCACGGGGCATACGAACTGGGCCGCGCTGCTGCGCTGGTAGGCTTGCTTTAGCCAACATTTCACCCTGGCTGTGTGCTCGCAGATTGGCACGTAGTCGACCATCTGCTCGCATTTGGGCACCTGCCGACAAGGCAAACAGCATCGGGGGAACCAGCCAGCAGATTGAAATGGATGACTCCAGTTGATCTTTGGAGGGTGGTGATGGATTGGACAACCAATCCTGCAAAGGCTCGCCCTAAACAGGCCTGACTTCTTCCGGCGTTGTACTCGTTCAGCATGTAGCACTTGACATCCATCGTGTGCCTGCAGTCGGGATAGACGTACCTGAGCACAATGCGAAGTGCCGGAGTCTTACAGACAGGAAGACGACGCCAAAGAAGATGTGTTGAACAGCCTCTGCAGCTTTGGGACGGTGTGTGAGACATTTCCTCACACTGCGGCCAGCTCTTCTGTCCACTTTGAATGTCTTCCTCGTCCCGGCACGACATCTCTTTCTCGTGCATGCAAGGGAGCGTCACCTTCACTTTGATGGGACAGCGATATGTCCGCAACGCTTCGTCGATCGTCTCACGCTTGTCTGCATCACCTGGACGACTTGACCGACTACACCACACTTTGTTCAAGAAAAGGCTCACATGTGCGACGCAACCAGTATCGACTAATATCCGCCACGAGCCTGTTGTGCAGTCGAGCAGCTGTTGGCGAAGACACTTTCGCAGGTGATATCCGCTTCGTGACGTGCACACGGGGAAGGAACTGCCGCCACGCACTTCTTGTTGTGCGTCTGCTGCGGCCAGTGGCACTTAAGACCACAGGGGTGGGAGCATGGAAGCCGGACTTGACATGGAACACCACAGAAGCCCAGCTGGAGCTCTTCTGCTTTCACTGCATCGAAAACGGACAGTGGATGCTGCGGACAACACAGCGGCAGCTTGGGGCCCACCCGCTGCCTCTCAAAGACCTCTGCCACGCCCGGGTCAGCATTGTCCGTCTTTGAAGCTGGCTCCTGCAAAAGGGCAAATGTCCGCTGCCAATGCTTGATTTCCTGCCGGGAGTTCTCGAAGTAGCCGGTGTTGCCAAGGATGTACATACCCAGTCTGGCACGTGAGAGCAGAACGATCATCCGGTTCACGAGCTTCACGAAGGGTGTGCGAGAATACTCGTCCACCACCAGGGATGCGATGACGATGTCTGCCTCGTCACCTTGGAAGCGATCCACCGTTGACAACCGTATTTGGTCAGTGTTGTCCCAGTCTCTGGACAAAAGCTTCTGGTCGGACTGGTCAGCGAAAAGGAGCTTTCGCATCAGCATCAATTGGCCCTTGTATGGTGTCAAGATCACAATCGATGTCTTTGGCACACCACATTGCACCAAGTAATAAGCTAGCCAGACAGCCATGTCTGCTTCGTGACGGTTCACTTTGGACATTCCAACATCTGCCTTCCCCTGGCTTCCCGAGTGTGTCCACAAGAAGATGTTGGACTGGACGCCCGGAACCTCCCTGCCCTTGCCCGCACTCTGCTTGGCAAGAGAGCCTGGGATCTTTCGTGTTGAGCAGACTTCGTGGTCCTCGATGGCAACGATGCTTTCATAGTACTCCCGCGTCAGGTCGCAGATGTGCGAGCGCATGCGGCGCTGTGTCTTGAGCACAGCGGAGGGCACCCGGTGCTCCTCCGGTGCCCTGATGAGGCGCTCGAACATTGAGACCTCGGTTCAAAGTTATTACAGGTAATGTCTGCGTCATGGTTACTGTCTTTGGGTCGGTTGAAGCTAACCTAGGCTTAGAAGAGCGGCATTGACGCTGTTGATCCTTTCGAAAGCGAACTTCTGCATGATGGATGGCTGGAGCTGCAGATGGTCACCGATCATTTCCAGCTTGAGCGTGCTCTGGCAGAAGCACGAGAAAAGAAGCCTTGGTCATCATGACATCTTTTAACCAACGCTTGCAGCATGCAGGGGTTCACATGCATAGAGTGTTAATATGTCTACACCCATATCTGAACTCTTAGCTTTACATATCGATATCAATATCTTCTGGTTATAGCTGTGCATACAATGTACAAATGACAGATTGCGTATGAACACGCATCGTTGTTAACCTTGCAGCCGCCTTTCGCCCAAAAAAACAAAACATGGAGCTTAAACCCATAATTCCCCAAACCCCACACCTCCAAACCCTACTACACCCCCAAAACACCACAAACCGCTACACCCCCCTAGACCCGAAACCTGAAACCCTGAACCGTAGAGAGCTCTGTTATTCGAGCCCAGGAGCGGCTCCAGGACTTCCGAGGCCTCTTCGACGACGATGGCGAAGGGGTTTGTGGACCGGATCGCCTCCAGGCTCCCGGGTTTGGGGCTGAGGGCGTAGGGTTTAGGGTTGAGGGTTGAGGGTTTTGGGTTTAGGGTTTGGGGTTGCGGGTTGCGGGTTGAGGGTTTTGGGTTTAGGGTTGCGGGTTGAGGGTTGAGGGTTGACGGTTTAGAGGCTCCCGGGTGTGGTACGATGCTTATGGGTACTGACTCTAGTAGGGGTACCAGGGGTACTATAGGGGTATTGGCGGTATCAGGTTTCTGGCCGGGGGCGGGGTGTTCAAGTAGGGTGTAAGGGGTTCAAGCTTTAAGGTTTTAGGGGTTCAGGAGTTTAGGGCCCAGGTGTGGGATTGGGCAACCTAGCCTCGAGGCGCGAGATACATCCGACGATGGTGCCGCCGATGACGCTCTTATTTTCGTAGACCCGGGCGCTGGCCCGAACTTCGGCTTCGTGCAGCCTCCTCCTCTTAAGGCTGGGTTTTCCGTCGCGAAATAAGAATAAGCCCCCTCTCACTTTGGCAGGAGATGGTAATGGCATATACGGTATATACCCCAAAAGGTTGCCTACTCAGCCCCGAAGAGTCCTCTTCAGGTAGACCTGCTGCCGGATCCTCTCCATGAGCTCCAGGAGGAGGCTCCTCTGCCTGGTCATCAGGCTCTCGCACGCTGCCCAGCGCTGCTCCAGGTTCAGCTCCCAAGTCCAGTCCTCCATTGCATTATGCTATGATATTCTTTATATATGCAGGTAGTATATATATATATATATATATATATGTATATATATATATATATATATATATATATATATGGTTTTCAACGTTATATTGGATTAAACGGATATAAATTCATATATCTTTGAGCTCCCAAGTCCACTCCTTGGAATCGAGGAGGTGGGGCGAGTTGGGGTCCTCTGGGCCCACGTCGGGCGCGTCTTCGGCCGCGAGCTCCTCCTGGTCCTGGCCCTGGCCTCCCTCAGAGGACTCCTCACTGAAGCCCTCGAAGTCATAGACCTCTCTCAGATGCTGCAAATTGTCGGCCTCCTCCACCTCATCCTGGTTGTCATAGCGGCCGTCGGCCTCTTGAGCCTGGGGAAGGTCATCGGACTGCCCGGCCGCGGAGGCAAACTCCACCTCCTCGATTCCCATGTCCTCGCGAGGGCCGTCGGGGACCGGGACCTGCTCCTCATCTGCCGGATCTCCACCCTCCTGCTGCGCCCTTCTTGCCGCCTCCTCTTCTTCCTTCGACTCCTGCGGAGTGCACTTATTTAGGGTGTAAACATACAAATCATAAAAATAACCACAGTAATAAGAATCATGATCATCATACTAATGATGATATCAATATTCATACTAGTAGTGTTGTTGGACACTGCTGCACTTTGCTCTCCCGGCCTTGGCCACCTCGCGCGCAAGGTCTGCTGCCGGAGCGTGGGCGTGACAGAACTGCGAGCCTGGCATGGCCATGGCTTGGCATTTCTTGCCTTTGCGGTTCACACCGGCGCAGTACAAGGATGTCTTTGCCCTCAAGCTCTGAGCCTTCTCATAGGCTCCTAAGCTGCACAGGCTGGCGAGTGGCCTGCGCCTCTACGAGAAAAAGGCTCCTGCAAAGGTAACTAAGTCCCTGTCCATCTGACCCTTCAGCGCGAACTTCCTCGACGGCTGAGCCATCATAGTAACTGTAGCTCTGCATGTGACGGCTGCAGTAGTTGTAACCGGGAATCGAAGGATTGGAGCAAGACCAGCCCCACCACGACGAGTACTGGCACTGCTTCACATCGTGACTCTCGCAGACGTCTTTGCCAGGCACAGCGAACTCATGGCATTGGTAACAAAGCGGATGCTCCATGCAGACATTCCGGGGAGGGTCATCGCCAGCAAGCGGTGAGATCTTGCCCAAGGACAAGCATTTCTTGCAAGCATGATCTTCACAGAAAAGCTGTGGAGCTGGCAGCTTTCTCCTGCCAGGCGTGCAGTCGGAGGCACAAGTGAGTTCTGCATACCGATGATACGAGACCAGAGGTGCAGCAGTGCCCAACGAGCATCGCAAACTCAGGCCCCGTTGGAAGAAGTCAGACGTAATTGTGTTTGGTTCATGTTGCGGATGCGGAGCCGTTTCTGGTGCTGGTGCTGCATTTGGCCGTCAGCAGCTTCAAACAGCCCACATACTCCGTTCGATCCCAGTTTCAGCTCGAGTCTAGAGTTGTCCTCTTGCTCACCCTATTCATACCTATCTATCTATCTATTCACAAACCGTACTCTACAGTTGTCTAGTCGCTCTCTTTTCACTGCTTCCATTCTTTTACGGTGTCTGCAATCAGCTACTCCTGAGCAGGCCGCATCTTAATCAGTGCTCCTTTCGCAGCTTTCAACTTGGCATGCATGTTCCGCACAAGCCCAGCGCTGAGGCAAAACAGGATTTCGGCACCAAGTGCCGTTGTCCGATTCCACCCAGCAGCTGTGATGCACCTTTCAACAGTGGCACGTCGGCGTTTCGCACGGAAGGGAGCGAGACCACAGATGTGCTGCCTCCGTGCAGCCCGGAGGCGCAGAAGTCCGCATCGTGAGAGTAGGCCAGGCTTTCGCACTCACCAAATCTGTACTTGCACATGGGCAGAGGGCGGTCGCCACGGAGGAACATGTACAGCACCTCACCTCACGAGAAAGCGAAGGGCCCTAGGGCCCTGTATGGAGGAAGCCTTGAAACTCCCATATTACTATCATAATATTACTATCATAATATTACTATCATATTACTATCATATTTCTATCATATTATTACCATATAACTACCTTTCTTCCATTCCCTGGCATGGCATGGCCCCCCCCTGAGGCCGGAGCTTGGATCCTCCAGCTCCGCGTGGCCGAGCTCCACGTAGTGGGCGACTCCGGCCTCGAGCCTTCACCGTTGCTTAGTAGGGAATGGAGGAATGGGGTACAATTATGACTACTACTACTACCATATTACTACCATAGTACTACCATATTACTACCATAGTACTACCATATTACTACCATATTACTATCATAACATTACTACCATATTACTATCATATTATTACCATATAACTATCATTTTATTACCAGTCTTCCATTCCCTTGTAAGCAAAGGTAAGGAGCTGGGGGACTTCGAGGAAGATCTTGGCTCGGCTCAGCGAGGTCTGCGCCCGGCGACTCCGGGGATCCTGCGCTTCCTCCCGAAGGAAATCCACCTGGGTTTAGGGTTTAGGGTTTAGGGAGGCGGTGGAGCAGAAAATTGTGGGCTCCTTCTGGTCCCCTAAAGTACACACAATATACTAGATTATCAAAATTATGGGCTCCTTTTGGTCCCCTAGAAGTACATAAAGAATATGCTCATGATATACTCTATCATACTATAATGCAGGCAATACAAGGGCCCATAGTTTTGATCAAGCTCCACCTGTGTGAGGAAGCCGCCGTCGCTGTCGCCGTCGTCCTCACCGAAGTGTCCCTCCTCCTCACGACGCTTTGCCTTCGTCAAACGGCAAATGCGAACCAAGCTGGCCTCAGAAGGAACAGACTTGCGAGGCTGAACCCCTACCGACATGCCGGGGCAACCCTTTACTGAGAAGCGAACCAACAGCATCTCGGTAGCCTCGTAGGCACACTTGTTGCCTCGTGTCGCCAGCTCACTGGGACATATCGTCACGTCGTTGATGCTTTTGTGCAGATGCGGCTACTGTAGCTTCACGCCAAGAGTCGCTTCTTTTGCGCCACCGTCTGATCGTCCTTCGGATGCTGCGCAAACATGTCTGCCTGCACAAGTTCTCGGTGCAGCCAGGAGCAGGGGTTCGGCATGGAGGTTGGGAAGGGTGCCAAGCAACAGCCACGAAGAAAGAACTGCAGATGAGCCGCCTGAAAGCCACCGAAGCTCTTCGCGCGACTGCACAAATCCTTGCAGGCCGACGAGAGCTCGTGGAGCCACTGCACGGTCCTTTTGAGACCTGCCACCTGCTGGGCACGAGAGACCCCAAACTTCCCCATAAGGCCCCCATAACCTGCATCCTGAAACTCAAAGACTTACTATAGGCTGAAACCCGAAAGCCCCCGACCTCCCAATCTTGTCGGCCCAGCGTCCTCTCTGAGAAGGCCCCGAGACGTGGATCAAGGGAGGCACCGCCACCGATGCGGATGAGCCCAGGTCCCCTTGCCAGCCGAGACTCGGCTTTGATGAGATCAAGGAGGAACTCGTCAATGGCGTGATTCTTATAGCTGAGAACAAGGATTGGTGGAGTGCCGACGGATTCATCCACCTTGACCCAGAACTTGCGCACGATCATAAGGGCCCGCACCATCACCACGCCCAGGTAAGACTTCCCTGTTCCCGGAGGCCCTTGGGTCAAGTGCACGGGGCTCTTCAGACCATCGATGAAGCTCCGCATCTGTCCCTCGTCGAGCGTGGCCTCCTTCAGCAGAGCCACCAAATCTTCACACATCCTGGCGAAGGCAGTGGGAGAGGCAGAGGAGTAGGCATACAAACTGTGGGATATTCTAGTAAACTATACATACAACAACATAACAGATAATGTATACTAAAGTCTATGTAACAGATGTACAGCTGTGGGAACAGCAACCAAGCCACTTCTCTGAGAGCACTGGATCCCGGCGCACAGCCATGATGGGAGGGAGGCTGCTCTCTTCTACCATGGAGGCCACCAGCAGCCGGTAGTTGCTGAGGTCTGCGGTTGCATCCAGCAAGCCGCTTAGATCTGGTCTGTGCCAGGAGCACAGATTCAGCAATGCCCCACCCTGAGCCAAACACATCCAAAAGGTCCACATCTGCATGCGATTCTGAGGCACACCTGATGTGAACCTCCCTGAGCCCCCCCCTCAGAGGCCTCGAAGGGCATGTTCCCCATCCTCTGATTCTCTAAGGCCTGCTCGGGGAGCGGCTTTCAAGGGAGCCTTCAGAAAGGAAGGGCCTGTTGTATTATTTGTAGCTTATAGGAAAATTTGGGTATATCTTCGAAGGCCTTCAGCACCGGAACGTACTCCGGAACGAAGGTCATGCAGTCGATGATCGCTGCATGATCCCCTTCCGTGAGATTATCGTCGTCGAAGCCCGTGATGGAGGAGACATTGATGGCAATGTAGCCGTGCTCCCTGTTTCGCGCTTCATCCTGGGGCTTCCCCCCGTGAGGCGGGTGGTGAGACACCTCGCCCCAGTAGATGGGATCCGATGCTTTCAGCGCCGCACCTACAAGCAGAGTGCTAGGACTGCTAGGAGAAATCGGGAGATACCGTAGTGCTGCGGGCTTTCGGGCCAGATTCGAGCTTGCGCCTGGCTCGGAGAGCCTCACAAGAGCGACGAGGTTCGGGCTTTGCAAGCGTCTTGTCGTTCGCCAGTGGATCTTCATCTGTGGAGGACACCGCGACTCCAGGCCCTCGAAATAAAGCCTGGCAGGGATTCGGGAAAGTGTCTGAGGGCGGCTTGCAGCTCTGATAGTAATTAGCTGTCTGAACCAACCGCTCCGCAACAGACATCCGCAAGGCAAGGCCGGCCTTCCATCAAAGCCGACACGGCTCAGCACACAGTCATAGACGTGGGTGGAGGCCCTGTGACCTGACCCAGGGCACTCAAGGCCAACCTCCCGACTGCCGGCACCGGCATCTCCCGGCGGCCTTTGCGTCCCATCAGCTGCTGGGTCGCGTCCGCCGCGCATTTTTTGCACATGCCCGAGTCGTGCTTGGAGTTACTGCAAGCAAGAACGACTGGTCGTGCACACCCACCTTGCGTGGAGCAGCTGGGGCATTGATGTGCGATGATGCGGCAAATGTGGGCAGACAAGTTGCGCGTCCGGCAGTGCAGACCCATGATTTCCGGAATTGGCCACAGCGTAGAACCGCAGTCCTCGGGCGAGACGACAATAGCACTTGTGGCGATGACAAGTTCGCCATGACCCACGCAGCACCCGGTCCTTCATCCAGCATCGCGGAGAAATCGCAGCATTCCCATCACTGAAAGTCATGCCGATCATCAGCTTTTCAATGGTGTCCATGTACTCTTCCGGCGTGGCCTCGACTGATATGCAGACGACTTTTTGGAATGCTCCCTCGGAGACCCTCCCCAGACCCTCAAAGCCCTCAGAGCCGCTGGCATACACTCCACGCTGCTTGGACTTCGACGTCTGCATCTTCGGCAAAGTGCCAGGGCAGAAGCTCTCGGGCCGCGCAAGCCACCCCACGGTGGCGCGGCGCCAACTTCCAGAGATCCCCGAGCTCTCCGCGTCCTCACCTTTCCCCATCCTCTCCTTGAAGGAGACAAGGAACCGACGAGACAGACACGACAGAGCTCTCCGGAGTGGCTTCGACACTTAAGCCCAGGCTGTCCCTTCTCTCCTCCGCGCCCTCTTCTCCAGCAGTCGGCTTGAGTTTGATGCACCAGGGCTTCTCCAGCTCGTCCACGAGCAGCGTGATCCTTCTGGGACTCGTGATGAGAGGCGCGAAAACTTGCGAGGCATTGCACAGAGGATTGGTGTCCTCTTTGCAGCTTCCTTGTGGTCCTGCCATGATTTTCACATGCTGCAGGTGCCAAGACATGCAAAACAACTCGCCCCGGCAACACGGGGCACGCGAGAGAGAGAGAGAGAGAGAGAAGGGGGGGGGCAACTGGGAAAGTGAGCAATCGTCCTTGTGCCTGATTTGCAGGCAGCCGTGTGCCTGGCATTTCGGGTTGAAGCTGAGCCCCACCGATGGTCCCAACGCACTGACACGGTGTCTCGCTTTCGACTTCGGAGTTCGTCTCTTCAACGCCGAGCTTTGTCCAAGGCCCCGGCGTCTTCCAGAATGTTCTGCAGCGACTCTCGGACCTCCGCACAGGACTTGCTACCAGATTACTATCATATTATTACCATATAACTACCATTACTCTACGGGTCTGAACCGAAACGGAAAGAAACTCTCCCCAAACGAACCTCGGCCTTCCTATGACAGTAGACAGAGAGAGTAGGGGATCTTGTGGAAGAGGCCATCCGCTGCAGGGGTTGTGCATTTGGGCATTGGGGTTCAAAAAGTATATCGGCTCATACACTGAACTTCGCACCTCCTCAACGGAGACATCCCACTCCAACGTGAGCAGCTTTCTCACAGCGTTGATGACCACCTTCCACGGGAAGCCCCCCAAACGGGCGCAGACTGCTCATATGCCCTGCCACTGCCACTGCCCAAGGGCCGAGCCTCCACAGCAGCCACGGCACTTTCCGGTGAACCTCCGGGGCCATCTTGGGAACGGGACCGAACGTCCTAGCACCCACGCCGGCAACCCCACCTTTCTTTTCCTCTTCGAGAAACAACTGCATCGTCGTCTGACCTGGGGCACAGATGGGCACAGAACATCAACAAGTGGAAGCGAGAAGAGGCCGTCGGATGGATCCCGACACTTCAGACCTTCTCCCATTGCAGCTGATGGTCATGCCCCTGCTGGAGGTGGTGGTGGTGGAGATGCCGAAGGCGGGATCTTGCACAAAATCGTCACGAGGCTTTTCACAGCCTGACTCGGACAGGTCACGTCTCAGCGCAACCCTGTAGCGGAAAGAAAGCAAGGGCATTTGGGGGGAGCCGTCCTCGGAAGGCAATTGAGCACAACAACTCCAGCACTGCTGCCACTGATCTTTGGCATCCAGAATCTGCTTGCCCAGGTCCCCTGAGCCGTGGCTGCAGGGCTTCCCCTAAAGATGCAAGCACACCTCCATCGACTGCAGCTGCGGTGCCCTTGGCATGGGAAAGCTTTTGGATAAAACGCCGGCTGTCGTCAACATTGACGCTTCTCCTCGAGCTGCTCCACCATGAGCCTGAGCTTGAAGCTCCGGCTCCGGACCAGCCATTGTGGTACCGGTAGCCTCGGGCAACAGAGAAGCGCAGAGTGCAGGTCTGCGAGAGCCTACCACATGCTGCCTTGTCCGCCTGCATTTCCGGCCCCTTTGCTCGCGTTGCTCTTGCCTGGGCCACGGAGCTTGGAGCAAGAAGCAAGCTGCAGAGCAGGAAAAAGAACAAATTCAATGAAGATGCCTTTCGATCCTTTCGTCCCTTTGCCTTTGCTCTTGCCCGAACCACCCATGCTTCGGTCAGCGAGGCTTAGGGCAACAAACCAGGCTTGAGAACAAAGGCAAGCGTCGGGACAGACGTACAGACACACGCTCAACAACCACCCTCAGCCACCTGCAGACATGTGTTGACATGATTTGCGAGGCCCAGCTGGGCACCACCCCCAACTGCTCGCGCGACATTGCTTTCTTTCTTGAAGGTGAAGGCATCTTAGATCTTGTTTCTCTGTGTTTGCGCCAAGCCCAAGGGCTTGGAAAAGTGATGTTGTTGGTCCCAAGTTCGTCTTTGATACGGAGAACACCGTCATCCACATCTGCTTATATTGACACGGAGGCTGCGTCGGTCACCCGGCTGGTCACCGAAGAGTAGACATGCTGGCACGACTACGGCTCCTACCGTTCTTGGTCGTGCCTCCTTCTACTGTCATATGTGTATCAGGCAGTACCATGCTTTCCTTCACCATCATGCCTTTGGGAGAAGCATTCTTTTGCCTCCCACGATTAGACTACCGTTTCGATCGGCCCCAGTGGACGGACAAACAGGTCAAGGATTTGTGTGTTCCACGGCTGCCGAGTCCTTCCAAGCATGATGTTGATGATATGCAGAAGTGTTTTTCGTGCCATCAACAGAACCTTTAGAACCAGTCCAAGGGCTCGGCAGGTATGCCTCGTGGCCCGGAGGCGAGAAACAGATTCTGACAATAACGATAGAAACAAAATTGAAAAGAGTGTAGGGAGTATGAACACAGTCTCTCAAGACCTCCGAAAAAACTTGCGGAGCTTTTCCCGACGCCACGCGCTCGAGGTTGAGATGCCTTCATCTGCATCGGTCCGGGGCCATCAACAGCAGTGCTCCTGGCACACTTAAGACTAGCATCAACAAGTTAAAGGTTGTTGCTTGCTGGCTCCCCGTGACGGAGCTTTGCATGAACCGCTCGGGTGTGGGGACTCAGCTGCTGTCACCTGATGCCCTGCACGATTGCATCACCAATACTCTAAACCCCAAGCCCAAAAATGAAGCCTAAACCCCAAACGCCCCGAAACCCCGACACCCCGACACCCGGTCCTTGGGCATCGCACGGCGGGATCGCTTGGAAAAAGCGGCCGTGAAGCTGCGGCCTTCGGGCGAAGCAGTCCCAGATTCCCTGATGTGCAGCAAGTAAGATAACTGAGAACGTGCGCGCGGGCATAAAGATCTGGGTTTTTGTTTTCTTGTATAACGTTTTGGGTTCCGGGGGGACTTAGATTTTAGTTGGTTGCGCGCTGTTGGGTTTAGGTGTTGAGTTTTGGGCTTTGATGCTGTCTCCTGCCCAGCTCATAGGTGCAAAGCCCTGGGCCCCACTTCTCTTCGCAGAGCCTTTGCTTGAAGCCCTGAAGCTAACCGTATACTCCATATGTATATATATATATATCTCAGAACCAGTGTACACATGTACATACACACATGTACGTCTATGTACTGTCCATATACAAATACACATATATATATATATATGTATATATATATGTATATATATATATATATATACACATGACCATATACATGTATCTATGTATATATATATATATGTACACGTATGTATGCATGTATGTATATGCACATACACAGAGAGTTCTACAGAGACCGGTCCTCTTGCGCCTTTTTCCTCGCCTTCCGAAAGCGAGTCAAAGAGGCTCCTGGGCAAACCTCAAAGAGGCGGCCCACGGCTTGTACGAGCCAACAAAGCCGCAATGCTTTTTGGGGTTGACTTACCTCTGGTTAGTAGGGTTACTATAAGGGACTATAATGGGTACTATAATGTAGGGGCCTTAATAATCCTATAACTTAGATTTGGTTAGTAGGGAATGGAGGAATGGGGTACAATTATAGCTACTATTACTACCATTCTTCCATTCCCTACTAACCAAAGGTAAGTTGAGAGGGGGTTTGGGGTTTAGGGTAAACCCTGAGGGTAGAATGAATCTGGGCTTGGCCAAAACCAGCCAAAGCTCCAGACAAAACTGCAAAACTCTGCTTTGAGCGCATGCAAGCTTGACTAGGTGACTAAGATCAGATGCATGCGAAGACGGGAGAACCAAAGCTCCGTCTATCCGTGCAGGAACACATCGGAGCAGTCCGCCCATGTCCAGCCAAGCGAGCTCCAGAGGAGCTCAGTCACAAAACCTCCAAGCTCAACCAAGGTCTGCAGAGATGGATGTGTTCCAAATATTGCTTTGAAGCTTCCTGGGCTACTGCTATAGGTCTGCAATGAAAGAAACTCCGATTTAGAACACGCCCGGCTCTCTGGTGCATCTCCAGCCATCTCCGGCTGCTCTTTAGCCATGCTTCAGAAGCAGCCATCACTTCTGCCGGACACCCTTTGCATCGCAGGAGGAACGCCGCAACTCCAGAGGCTCCAATACATTGCCCAAGTAAGGGACTCTCTATCGATGAAACCGCACATCGTCCACAACACGTATGTAGATGAATGAGTTGTGCAAAACATGAACATGGATGTATACAAAGAAGCAGTGCAGGAGTGTCTGCAGGCATTTGTGCATACCGAAGTGGTGTTTCACGTGCTCGTCTCTGCCTGGCTGTGCCTGTCTAACCAACTAACTAACTAACTAGCTCACAAGTTAGCTAGCCACCTAGCCAATGAACCAACCAACCAGCTACCTGACTGCCCTAAACTAAGTCCTAAACTAAACTAAAGCAAACCAAGCCAAGTAAATGACTGAATAACTGATCCACACAGTTACAGACTCACTTACAAGCTTGCTACAATGAACAAACAAACAGACAAAAAGACCAACAAACAAACACTATCTGTCTACCTGTCTGTTGGAGTTTCTATCATCTACCTATATCTACCTGACCTTTCCATCTAGCTATCTATATAACTATCGTTCTTGCTTCTGAAATCCATTCTAGTCCACCCGTGTAAGTGTACATGTGCACATGCACATTTACTTAGTTATCTAAGTGTGTCTGCCTGCGAGGATCATGTTATGAATGTTAACGCACGTGCATGAACATGTCATGTAATATGTACAAGCTTGCGTATACTGCATGCAGGTGGACTTCGGAATGTGGACGTGTCGCACACCTTATGGCAAACCCGCACATCTTTCAATACAGCGTATTCAAAAACACGCGCCCGCAGAACAAACACACATTGACTTTGACGCTTTGCTTAGCACAACAAACACACGAACGCACGCATGAAACTGCAGAACACCCCTCTAGACCCCTATACATAGATGTAAGTACATCAAACACAACCTTGATTGATGGTATGCATCGTAGCAGATATTCAATTCGTGAGTTCACCCGTCCTCCCAATCATACCCGTGCATGTGGCTGCGTACATGCATGCGTGTACAGACGTGTACGTTCGGGAATGCAGGTCTGGACACGGAATACATGCATGCCATAACCAAAAGAAACATAATCATGACAGTATTGACAATAACAATAGCACTAATCATCATGACATCCATAAATAAGGACAGTAAGGATAGCACTAAAAACTCGAGGACCTCGTGGAGCCTCGGAGTGTCAGCCATGGCATCGCCACCTTTCCACTAGCGTCAGCCGCGGCGCATGGGCCGCACGGGCCGCGGTGGCCGTCTATGGCCTAGGAATTCCGTCCTTGTGAGATGATGATTAGCCGTAGTATTATTTTGATGGCTGTTGTCAGCTTCGCTTGCTCTTGCCATTTATATCATTTATTCGCTAATACTCTTTCCATTCAAAAACGATGCCAGCAACGCCAAGCTCAAGGCTCGGGTTGAGGCTTGGGCCCTGGCTAGCACCCCAAAAGCCCCGAGCCAGGAAAGCCCGAAACGCTCACAGCTCCAAAACCATCCCACCCCCCAAAGCTCAGGGTGAGGCCCAAGGACCCTAAACCCCAAACCCTGAAGAAATCCCCCCTAAAAAGCTCAGCTTAAGGGCTCGGATTGCGGTTCATCTTCTCCCGGCTGCTGCGGATCATCTCGGCTCTCTCGCGCTCCTCGCGGCTTGCCTGCATCTTGTGCACCTGCTCTCGAAGAGTCGAACGAAGGGTTTAAGGGTCTAGGGATTTTGGGGTTTGGGGTTTAGGGACTTTGGGTTTGAGGGTTTAGGGACTTTGGGATGGCTCAAAAGTCTTGGGTCTTGGGCTTTGGGGTGTAGGAGTGCGGGTTTAGCCATAGAACTTAGGATTTGGGGGCTTCGGGGGCTTAGGGTTTAGGCTTGAGGGTTCAAGGCTTAAGCCTGGGTCGCGGCCTTCTGGGGTATCGTCTCCGTTGGCGCTGCTTCAAGACTTCCGCCACAGCCCATGATTACAGCGGACAGCTTGCCCTGAAACCCGAAGGGCCCTAAACTGTACAGGGGTACAGGGGCTGAGCCTGAGCCGATGTTGTGTCAAGGCAGGCTGGCAAGCGCAAACACAGGAAAAGAGTCATGAAGCCAGGTGCAAGCTTCACTGAAATGTCTCACATAGTCATAGATGTTGCATACCTGTGCAGTTGTAACAAAAGAAAACAGCAATAACAGCAAAAATGCCTTGGCTACTCAGACCCCTATGAGACGTTTTCGCCGTTTGACCGCACTTGGAAACCGTTCCCAGAGCGGCTCCAAAATCTCAGGTTCAGATTGGGGATATCTCTCAGAACTCCTACGGTTCCATAACCTAAGGGATCCCTTCAAGAATTCTTTTTGAAGGCTCGGGCCTTCAGCCAAGGTCAAACCTCGGCGCCCGGCTCAAGTCTAAAAGAAAAGTATCATCAGACCCCCTCGCCTTCACCCGGAACGCAACGCCCGAGGGAGCCTGGGTGAGCAGGGTCCAGGCGGCTTCTGCGCTTCAGCATACATCGCAAGCCAGAGAAGCCTCATCTTCAAAG